TCTAAGGCAGCCAACAGGAAAAAGCCCTATTTATGCTTATTGGCATCACCTGTGTTGTCCCAAGCTTATTAGGTGGTGACAGGCAGAATAACAAAGCAGAAAGAGCAAGGGCTTTGCAACTAGACAAGTCTAGGCTTGAATCCTTTCTAACTGAGTGACCTTAGATGAGTTATTTAACCTCTCTGAGTCTCCAATTTCTTTATGTGTACAATGGGGATAATAATAGTATACTTCACACGGGTGTTGTGAAGATGAGACAAGATAATATCTGATAAGCCCCTTGTTTAACATCTGCCATGGTGCTCCACATGTGATACCTTTTATTATAGATGTAGCTCAAGGCAGGTAACATTGCAGTAAAACATTTCTGGCAAACACCTTTGTGAAGACCTTCTCATTGTATTTTTAATTATCCTTAAATGATTAAACAATCACTCTAGTTAATATTTTCTAATTGCATTAAACCAGAGGTTGTGTCTAGGGCACATGATAAGGGTCTTATTTATCATATTAGGGTTTATTTGTGTGCAAATTCAAGGACCCTAGATGAGTGATACCATTAATCAAGATTTTATGGCCGTGAGACACCATTATCTTTTACTATGCTGCACTCATAACTGACATGTTGTCACAACTGGGCATCTGATGAAACTGTTAAGGAACAAATCAACACTATGGAAGTGGTATTTACTGAAATAAAAAACCACCAGAAGAACAGGCACAATGATCACATCAGTAAGAGATTGGGGTGGGGAAGGAGCTGGATAAAAGAGACTCTTACACTGGACATGTGAACTATGTTCCAAAGGGACATAGTTAGGAACTCTGAAAGTGTTGTTGAGAGTCCAGAATGCAAACTTCATGTGTAAGTGTGTGGCCAGCTTAGTGTGAATCGGCTTCAGGGTGATGCTCAGAAATAGGGATGCAGTGTGGAGTGTCTGAGGCAGATGACTGAGAATATGAGCTTATATGACATGGGAACTCCACTCAAATGAGTTAGGCCCTATGTGCTGTCTCCTGGGAAGGCCTTGCAAACAAATGGTGCAATTGAAAAGGGTTACCAAGAAGATCAGTTAAAATGACTGAATATCAGAGAAATCCATCCCTGTTTTTTTTAAGCCAAGAACGGCAAGGCTGGGTGAAGCCAAGCGAGGTTTGGAGAATATGAAGGGAATATTGTGGAGCTAAGTGTTTGTCTTCTGTTTCTAAAGACAGCATACAAGAAAATGGGGCCTGATGGTAACATGAGAGAAACAGATTTGACAGCAAATGAAACTACCTATGGCAAAAGTTGAGAGGTTGAAACATTCATTAAATGAAATTTGTATGTATTTTCTGGCTGCACATAGAGAAACTAAACAGCAAATGCAGTGCCATGTTCTTTTGGGTTTCCAGTGAGTGTGATGGACAAAATGTCTCTTTTTCTCCTTCAAATTCTCTTTCTTTTCAAGATTTTCTAAGACCACTTTTGCTTTACTTTTATCCCAATGAATACTACTATTGAAAAATGGCAAACTTTCCAGAAATGAATGCATTTCTTAAAAAAAAAAAATTGGGTAAACCTGACATAACACAAAATGCATGCATTTCAGTAAGTTTTAGTATATGCAAGTGTTGTGCAACCATTGCTACTGTCTAATTCCAGAACATTTTCATCACTGCAGAAGGAAACCTCACACCCATTAAGCAGTTACTACCCATACTCCTCTCCCTCAAACACCTTCTATCTATGGATTTGTCTTAGGAATGTATTTCTTTTGGAATCTAACGAATTCTGTATTTAATTTTACAACTAGAGGTAGAAGACTACTGAGTGTATCTGTTGTGTGTGTGGGTATGAGAGGGAGAGAGAGTGAGAGGTGAGCATTTATGAGAAACTTTGCAAAGTAAAATCTTGTGAAATAGTACAACAAAATGGAAACGTGGGAGGATACTCTTTTTTTAATTAGCTGTTCATAACTTAAATTAGATATCCAAAGGTAAATTCCTCAAGGGTCCAGTCAATTACAGGTTCAAGAAATGGCCAACAGTTCTTGAGATATGCCTGCAACATTGAGAAAGGTTCTTGAGTGGCAGTGTGGCTTTGTCACTCCTACGTTAGGCTAAACAGTTTCACACCCGACAGCAGCTCTGTCCTGGATCCAAGCTCTTCCTGTAATTGCTGATGATAACCCTATTACTTTTCTTTAGAGCAGGGTTGCAGTGACCATTGCTTATTCCGCATTTATTTGTCCTGGTGAGCACATCAGATACAGCAGAGGAAACTTAGGATGCCTGACGGGTAAGTTAAACACAACTTAAAATAATAAAACTTTTTTTGTAGCCATAACTACTTATCAATTTTAAATTAAAATACACATTTTATTCTGGCTGGAATTTTTTAAAAGTTAGGTAACCTATTTAATTTAAAAACTTGGAGAATGAACTAGAAAATGTTTTATAGGGCATTTTTTGGTAAACTGATTTAAAACTTGCATGACTTCCTTCATTATGATTATATTGACAGGAAACTTGTGTTGTCTAAATTCTGGAAAAGATACATACAACTTGAAAGAAATCTTAATTTTCAACCAATCAAGTAATTCCTCAGAAGGAGGAATAAATAGCCTGTCGGGTCTTGTGACTTCAGCGGTGCTTTGTAATCTAGACTGTCAAGGCCAGGAGATTACTGTCATTTTGTATTTTGTGTGTATTTTGAGGAGTTTTATTCCATTTTCATTCTCAATGCCTTTCCATTTCATAAGCCCCAACTAATTATCTTAGCCATTTCCACTAATAAGGACTGGTTGTGGTTGTGGTGTTATGGATCTTGCTTGTTTTCTTTCCAAATTTCTTATCCACATGCTTCACGGCAGTCTCCCACCTCTTATTTTTGCCCCCATTTTCTCATTTTGACTTCTGAGGACTCCCTGATGACGATGGAAAACAGAGTCTCCACATCACATTGTGAAATGTGCATGACTTAGCTACTATTCCAACAAACATTTCTCAGACAGTGTGGGCCGGAAGTAATTTTTTACTTAACCAACCGAATCTCCTTTAAGCTACCTGGAAGTTGAGGGCAGCACAACACTTTTCTGGTGGCAAGTGCAAATTAACATAAAGCACTTGGGGGTCCTCATTGCTGAGAGACTCTGCGGTGAACCTCTGGTGCCTTGCTTGAGGACCTATCAACAAAATTCATCTCCTGGAAGAGACTGCCATAATGTGGAGGTGTTTGATTCCTCGGTTCCCTTCTTCTCCATGTGCCTCATGTGAGGGTGCCTTGGTTTACTTCTCAAGGACGTGTGGGTACATTACCCTATTTTCCAACTTTAGAAGACAAACCAAAACCTCTCTAGGAGTGAAGAGAAAGGACTTGAAAGTGTTGTGAAAGAAACGGGGGGAAAGAGGGCTTGAAAAGGATAAAGGCAGTTAACAGCAGTAGCTAAACTGTAAATCACCTATCTCTGACCTCCAGACCACATCCCAACGGAGTCCAGCTGCACCCCGCCCCTCCGACCTCTGGGGCTCCTGACTGAGAGTCTAGATACAGGGCCCATATTCACTTGCCTCCTTTCACTACTGGGTGGCAGTCTGGCCTTTGCAGGGAGTGGGTTCTGGCTGGAGTTTCAATGTGTAGAGTCCAGTCCCCAGGTTTTGGCGAGACTGAGACAGGTAAGTTTAACCTGGGGGTTTTAGGGGCTCCAGGGATTTTGGCAGAGAGGTGGTCGGATGGGGTGGAAAAGTCAAGGGAGGTTCAAGTCTGGTGTTCTTTAGAGTTTTTCACTAGCCCCTCCAGGAGGCCACCGAATGGCTTTATCTGGACAGGGACACAACTGGGATAACCGGTATGCCTGGTCACTGCCTGTCTCATCCTGGGCCGCTTGGAGGAGAGGTGAGGAATGGCTCTGTGGGTGCGGGCAGGGCTCAGAGGGCGCCAAGGGAGAAGCAAGGCTGTTGGTGAAGGAAGCGCTTGGGTGCTTCCTCCTGGTTGCCTCTCCAGGCAGGACATGGAGCCCCCAGCTCTGGGCTGGGGCTGGGTCCCTATGTCGTTTCGGGACTTCACATTTCCAGAGGCTCCGTTGACTCCTCTGAAGAGGGCTGGGCTCTGATCCTGGCGCCCCTTCCTGCCCTTTGATTCTGGTTCTTTGAGGGAAGCCCCACTATGAGGTCCTGGGAAGGAAAGACATTCTCTGCCCGCAGGCGGGCCGGAACGGGAAGGCCAGGAAAACCGCCTTCGTGACACGGATTCTATTTATTTATCTATATTAAAAATGATTTTCGTTTTTAAAAAAAAAGGATGTTTCCCCACACCTCCAAGCCCAGACTGGCGCTTTGCACGACGACCGTCGACCGTCGGCGGCAGCCCGCTCCCCGACCGACCAGGCCGCCGGTGCGAAGCGCGGCTCTAGCCCGGCCCGGGCCTTGGCTCTCGCCTTCCCCGACACCGCCCAGCCGGCTGGCTGCCCCGGCTCCCCGACCTCGTCTCGCGGCCTCCCGGAGGGCGGGGAAGCCGGCGAGCTCAGCTCGTTTGGCGAAAGCCCCACCAGGCCCGCGGGTCGTTTGCGGCCAGACGGCCCCGAGGGCCGCGGGTGGGCGGCGACTCCTAGGAAGGGCGTGGAAGGCTGCGGGGCGCCTGGCCTCGCGCCGCGGCGGCGGCCGAAGCTCCGCCCCCGTCCCCGTATAAGTGGCGGCCCGGGCCCGGCCCGCGGCGGCGGCGGCGGCGGTGCAGGCTCCCGAGTCGGTTCGGACGGCCTGTTGAGCCCCCTCCACCCGCTTCCATAAGGCTTTGCCTTTCCAACTTCAGCTACAGTGTTAGCTAAGTTTGGAAAGAAGACTAAAAGAAGACCCCCGGCCGTTTTCCTTTTTGTTTTTATCATAGTCGTCGTCGGAGGCTTTTTGCACAGAGCTGTTGTGTTTTCGGCGGTGCTTTCTTCAGTTTCTTGCACTCCTGTTGACAAACGCCTCAGCAGGAGCGGCAGGAACAGCAGAAGAACAAGCGGGGGGCGTCTGGTGCCATGACCAGGACAAGCCAGCAGAGCCGTCAGGGAGGATGCTGTGGTGAGTTGAGCCCCCGCATGGGGTTGGTTCGTTGGAGACTGCAGCTCCACGCAGGTTTTGGAGGAATGTGGCTCGGCTCTTAACCAGCGTGCTTAGCAGGTCTTTTGACTCCTGTGTTGGTGGAGGTTAAGGAAGAAAGGAATTCCAAGGGTTGGGAAAGGAGTTTGCACAGAAACGAGGATGGAATCGACTGGACGGTTTGGATTGCCTTGTTAAAAATGGAATGGCGTTTAAGACTGTTGAAACAAGAGCATTCTTCACTGTATGTGAAGTTTTGCAGGTATTGACCAATAATAGGTCATGCTGAATTTTTCATCTACCCATCAGTTTCTAGGTGTCTCGATGAAATCTACATGGTTTGCCCCACAAAGCAGTTTTTAATAATTGTATTTAATAAGAGCAAATGAATGAGCATTCCAACCTCAGCTCACTCAAGGGACTAAACATGCTTTTTATCTCCCCACTGTGTATCTTTGCAGGCTCCTTAGCAAACTACCTGACCTCTGCAAAATTCCTTCTCTACCTTGGTCATTCTCTGTCTACTTGGGTAAGTGATCACCTACAGTAATTCTTACAACATACTTGCACAATTTCTTGTTTCCTTTCATTTGGGCCAGTTGTAGTAAGCCATCTTCCAGTTTTGTCATACATCTGAAGAAATCAGTTGGGCACACATGCTGTAAGTTGTTTTCACCAAAGATGTTTTCCCATAGGTGTTGGTGAATGCTAGTTAATTGTTAGGTTATCATACTTTATGTAGACCAACAGCTATCTGAAGACAGGATTAAAAAAGGCAGGATTATCTTGTATGTTGCCTTACAAGGCTTAATAAATGGTAATATTCTGCTACTAAGAATGGATGAATGTCTCATTGATATCACTTTGTTTTTACATATTTTAAGGTATTTCTCTATTTTCTTTTGTTAAGATAAGTTCCAGCATACCACACTATGGAAATACAGTAGAATAATGGCATGACTAACAGGCTAAAAATAGAAGTTCTAAGATTAATGTAAATATAATGGACCCCAAGAACAAATATATGAGTGATGAAAATTTTGGTCTTTTCAAATGTTATCTGTAGCTAGATATGTGTGAGACATCTCAGTCTGTCTTAAAAGCCATCATCCAATGAAAATCAGCAGCTGATTGATAAGTCATCCTCTGACTTCTTATGTGGTTTTGGAAGAGTCCCAGTGTTTCTGTAGGCCTGGGTTCCTTCACCAACATCCCCCGACCCCAAAGAATAATCCCCAAAGGATGATAGATGTGTTTTTGATGATTAAATCATTTTGATGGATGCAATCTTTTAAATTAAACAATTAGTCTTACTGTTTAAAGCAATGAATCTGAGTATATTCTATTCATGTGTCATGTGTGATAGTTACAAAACCATAAGTTTCTGTTTTACAGAACTGTAAGTAAGGAGAAGGAATTTTGAGAGTAAATTTTGTGAATGTTATTTTCTTTTTAAATTGGAAACTTCTATTGGATCATCCTTAAGATGTGAATGCAAACTATAGTATGAGGAAATCCGTACCCCTGCCCTTGGGAAATTATTAAGCTAGGTTATCAGCTCTTTAAGAAAGAGCAGTTCAAAGATGGCTTTTTAGAAAGGCCAGCTTCTATCTCCCCAGAGGCTTAGACAGGGATGACTCTGCAAATACATGTAAACAAAGTAGACTTGGCCTGAGTTTCATTTCCGGTAACTGATGATTCTAAGTAGAAATCGAGTGAAACTGCCCTTAATTAATTTAAATCCAATTAAATTACTCTTCCAATTTAATTCAGTAGTATTGAGTATTTTTTTTTTAAGTGGTAAGTGATAGACGTAAGTGTCTGAAATGCTTATCTTGTGATCTGGACCTATTTCTTAGGGGAAGAAGGTGCCTAACTTCCAAATACTGATTACGTTTTAGGTTTTTATGACCATTCGATAGTAGGTTGACAGGTCAGATTTGCCAAAAGAGTGGAACTGTGATTGTTCCAGGAGGATTTGTTTTTTGTCTTACAAAACACAAGAAAAATGACAGATGCTTATTCCAGTCTTAAAGATAATTGAGCAAAAGGAGTTATTGTGGGAAACTTGGATTAAAACAAAACACAGCAATTATAGCCGGGTAAGGTTTAGTGGGTTTTCACTTCTTGGTGCAGAAGAGTGCAAAAAAGGAATGCTCTCTAACGCTAGATAATTCTGCCTTTTGAGTATTGTCTCCTGTTTGACTCTTTGCCTGATTTTATTGCAACAAAATATATGTGCTTATTTATTATATATGCATGTGTATACAAATCTACCTATCCATTGCCCACGGTTTCCTGTACGCTGAGTATATAGGTGTTAGGGTAGAAGGTTATATTGAGTTAGATTTGTGTGAGGTTGAATGCTTTTTGTTTCTGACTTCATTTCTTTCTGCCAGTGGATCAATATATTTTACTCTGTGCTATCAGAATACAAAATATGGTAAGAAGTGAATCCTGTTTTCAAGAAACTTATGATATAATTTGGTATTGGTTTTAAACAAAGTATCTAATTACAAAAAGATAACTAACAGTGTAAGGCAGTGAAAAAGGGTGGCCAGTGTTACTACCTTATGCATCATGCTATGGACTGGCTCCATTTACCTGCCAGATGTCTGCATGGTGCCAGCTGTTACTTCCTTGGATTTCTACTCATAGGTCTGCTTCATGCAAAATGCCACCTTCCTGCCCCACCCTACTTTCTTTTTCCACGTAGCATTTATACCACCTGGCCTACTCTGGGTTTGCTTTAGGTCTCTGTCCACTGGGATGCAAGCAGCATGAACATATAGATCTTGATTTTTGAGTACTGCTGAATTTCTAGTGCCTGCAGTATGGTTGGGTACATAGTAGCCTCTCAAAAAGTATTCAGTGCAGTAATGACATTCATTTGGCCTTTGGCTCAGTGCCCTGGAAGTAGATGAACATGTAAACAAACCCTCAAAGTGTGATGAGAGCTTGTGGGAGGGCAGGAAATGGAGGTTAGGAAAGAATGGGTGGGTGGGCCTGAGACTGCGCTTGGTCAGTGTTTACAGAGACTTTACCTGATTCTTGCACTTCGTGAATGTTGAGCCTGTTACTTCTTAAAGCCTAAGCCTTTGGAAATCGGAGCAAGTGGAACAGTTTTATTCTTCTCCATCAGGGAGGTGGCAAGAGAGAAAACTTTTGTGGCACTTGTTTCAAAGTCCTGCTTTAAAAAAACCTAGACCGATTCTTTTGGAAAAAAATATAGGATTAAAACAACAAAGAAAGAAAGAAGAACCTACTATATAGCGCAGGGAACTATATTCAATATCCTGTGATAAACCATAATGGAAAAAAATGTGAAAAAGAATGTGTAACTGAATCACTTTGCTGTACTCCAGAAACTAACACAACATAGAAAGTCAACTGTTCTTCAATAGAATAAGTGTAAGAAAGGAAAGAAAGAAGCAATCGGAATAATATTTCTTATTCTTTATGATAGGAAAGAGGACATTCTCTCATGGAGGCAGGCTATCATTTGAGGCATTTATATGTTTTTGTCTTTTTAGAGGATTGAGATTAGGATAAAGCACCTCCGCTCTCCTCATCCCATTTTATTCTAATCAAATCTAAATTTACTTCTCATGTTAAAGGTTAAGAAAATAGGTTAATTTGTTACTCTTACTGACATTTTTATCTTAATGTATAAATTGTCTTTTTATTGTTTTCAAACAAGCTGTATCATATATTTTTAGTCATTTAGTACAATGGTATTTGAAGTGTTATTCCTACTTAAGTGGAAGACATTTTCTATTATCAAAGCAAACTTTAAAAAGCTGTATGAGAAATGTGAATTACGGTACTAATTAAACCTCAAACTTCTGGAACATTCATGTAACAGATCTAGTGTACCAGAACACCACAGTTGATAACTTAGTCTCACTCTGCACTCATTTACAGCCAGGAACGCTGTGCATCCACTTTGTTGATTGCACGGTTATTTGCTGTGTTTCTAGTCTGGGATTTTGCCCTGTGCTGAGGCCTATGCTAGAGCTCACATTCCAGACCATCAAGTGAGAATCAGTCTTTCAAACATGCTCCTTCCACTAGTTTCCAGACGTTTATTGTCCTTATTTACCCCATCCCTCAAGGCCCTACTCTTATGTTAACTTTCAACTGTGGTTCTAAATAATGTTCATAACCCTCTACACCAAAGTTTCTGTACCTTGGCACTATTGACATCTTAGTCTGATTAATTCTTTGTTGTAGGGACTGTAGATGCCAGTAGTAAACCCACCCTCGCAGTTGTGACAACCCAAAATAGATCCAGACGTTGCTAAGTGATCCCTGGAGGATCACCCCCATTTGAGAAATTCTGGTCTACATGAAGCTTATTGTAAATGTTTGCTATAGTATGCACATCCATTTAACTTTGGATGCATCAGATTGTTGTCTTGGCTTTATTAAATGTTTAAAATCATATGACATAGCAGGATAATACATTGCTCCTTGTACACTAAATTTGTCAAGAGGATGTTAAGACGTTGGAAAGAACTAGGAGTGTAGTACTACTTCCAATCCGTAACTATGGAGGCTAGCCTGGGAATTTAGTTTCCTATAGTGATTTCTCATAGGGATAGGTTATGATAGAACGTTATTGTCCTGGTTTAGGTTAACCTTACAAGTCAGGAATGGGGCCTAAAAGTTCAAAATAAAGTCTGTTTTAGACTTCTTACATATTAATTTGGCTCAACTCATTTAAAAGTTTCTGTTACTCGTTTTGCAGCAGTGAATTCCAGAATTTCCTATATACTCTGGAGAGAAGAAATAGGTTTTTTTTTTCCCCCTTTTAAAACTCATCTATGTCAAAATGTTAAAATTATTTATGTATTTATTTCTGACATCTTCATATGGTGCCAGAATTTGAACATATTAACTTCATCTTTTTGATTGTCCTGATGTTTTATGTCTTTGAAATTTATTTGTAAAGTAGAACATAGATTTTAGAATGTTATAGGTAAAAGAAACTTGAAAGTAATGTACTGCATTCTTAGCATTTACAAATTGGGAAACTAGCTTTTACTTGACATCCAAGGCATACTGATGTTTGTAAACTACAATACTGTAGTTTCATTCTGCTTCAGTAGCAAACTCCTTCATGCCTCTCACTCCCAGGCCTGTCTAGAAACCTGACAAAAAAAGGGAACAGGTTTTACCTCAAAAAATCCTTCTTGAACTTGGAAACTGTATGCTTTTCTGGAATGATAAGTATGTTTGTTCCATTAATATGCTTTTCCTCTCAGGTTTACTTAGTAATTGGGCAGGAATATTTTCCACTGTGCCAGGATGAACAGTTTTAACACCTGACCACAGTCAATCCATAGAGGAACTGTTAACTTTGAAAATCTCCTGATGTAGCCGGAAAGTGCTCCTTTGTTAGGAAAGCAGTTTTTTGTGTATGATTGACTGGCAACTCGCACCCCCAAACTCTATGAAAGCCTCTTCTCTCTCCTCCGACCCCAGGGGGACCGGATGTGGCATTTCGCGGTGTCTGTGTTCCTGGTGGAGCTCTATGGGAACAGCCTGCTCTTGACGGCGGTCTACGGGCTGGTGGTGGCAGGCTCTGTGCTGGTCTTGGGAGCCATCATCGGCGACTGGGTGGATAAGAATGCCAGACTGAAAGGTGAGTGGTGTCATAGGAGCCTTTGTGCTCCTGGGACCAGGGCCTACCCTGGAGAGAAATCCCTATGGCGAACCCTCTGTAGCCCCTCTCTGAGCGGTGGGGTGCTCAGTGGCAGCACCCCTGCTTGCAGGGTCCTGGGACTCCTACAGAAAGATGGGATATCAGGATATTGAGTTTATAGATTTGGGGAGGTATCTTTTTTGGCTGTTCATAAATTAGGAATGTTAATGGTTAACATCATAGCACTTTTCTGTGAGCCATGTTAAACATTAAAAGTTTTCTTAACTCTGGCATCTTTTTAACCAGGACTTGCTTTGGAGTTCATTTAATACAATGTTCCTGGGACATCTTTAACATCTGTCCTCTGGGGAAGTGAAACAATGGATTTAAAAAAGAGCATCTGATCACAGAGAGTTGAATTATTAATTTTTTAAGAAAAAAGAAGAAATGGTAGTATACTGACATTAGTCTAGAGCATTAATACTGAAATCATAAGAAAAAAGAGAACAGTTCAATTATTCAGAATATAAGAGCAATTTGGATAATAATTCAGGGCAGAATTTCCCAGAATTATTCAGTTGATAATGCTAAGACCTGGCCATGTCTGTTTTAGTCTTAGTCATTGGGAAAGATTGAGGTATCTGTTTCTTTCAATGCAGAATGATGGCCCCTGGTTAGAAAGCAACTGGATTATCAAATTCTAGGGCTTGATGCTATTAGTAAAATGGCCAAGATGGACATTATTTTATTTTGAGAATCAATAGACCAAAGAACATATGAAAAAAGGTTTTGTATCCTAGAAAAAATTCCCAATTGTTTACATCATTATACATAGGGGCATGGGAATGCTATATATAGAAACCTTTAATCTTATGATTGTTGAACAGTGAAATTGTAAGTTAGGAAAGAATGTTGAGTTGGATGAAGAGGAGTTCAGTGGGATAGCAGTCTTGCACTTACTTGATGTAATCAACTCGTGTCTGCCTCCATGAAAATCTTTGATGTCTCTAGGCTGAGTTAACTAGAGACACTGTTTTTTTCTGCAGTCCCATTAAAGCTTTGTTAATACCTCTGCTATTTCACTTATGCGCTTATAATTATCTGTTCACGTGTCTACCCTTCCTGTGGTCTGTGGGGTTCTAAAAGCCAAGAATCTCATTCAGTTGATATTTAAGCCTTGTACAATAAAAGAATGACTTATATGTTGGGATTTTATTTCATACTAATTTCAGAAAGCAGTTTGTTTTGTCTTGAGGCTTTAATATAGCCTTCCAAGCCAGAATGAGCTTTACTGTCCTTCAAGGCAAGAGCTATAATTATACCTTTCATATACAACCCTCTGTGTTTTTCAGAGTGCTTTCATGAGTATTTTATTTGAGCATCATAATGACCCCATAAAGTGAGGAAGGCTGATAGATGTGTATTATATCCTCACTTTATAGACACAGACACAAGGGTTTAAGTATGCTGCCCTAGATCATCTGCTGCAGCTAGTGGCAAAGGAAAGACTACAAGGTGTCCTTCCCTGGATCCTGACCTGTGCTTATGTCAGCTCTGTCTACACGGATGCCTCACTCTCAGAAAGCTGGCATTTTCTCTGAGGAAAGATGTAGTTTAGAATTTCATAGCAAAGCAAATAGCTTTAGTGTTCTAAAAGGAACACACTGCTGCCTTATTCTTGGCAATTTTTTATGTCTTTCCTACTCATCTGTACGATCTTATAAAATTCAGCCCACCATCTAGGAAGTCATGAATTCCATGACAAAGGGCTGAGACATGAATCTTGTTTATCTAATATAGTTCTGTTTATGACAGTATACTTTCAAGAAAATAAATGAAAATGCAGTCATTATGAATGGCTTTATCAGGGAAAATGAGAAGTACTTCTTTATTCTGTCTGCAAGTTTTACTGATCTGATGTGATATGCTGGGTCTTGCTAGAAATAGCTCAGGTAGGAATGTTTTTATTTCTTGTAATTTGCATATGCATTAATACAGTAAAACAGTGGTACACGGATGGGAGCAGCTCCATTGAAATACTTTGGTGTGTGAACACTGTTTCTCCCTCTGTATAGTGGCCCAGACTTCACTGGTTATCCAGAATGTTTCGGTCATCCTGTGTGGAGTCATCCTGATGATGGTTTTCCTACATAAGAACGAGCTTCTGACTATGTACCATGGATGGGTTCTTGTAAGTTCTCAAGATTCTTGATGGCAGAAAATTGATGTGTCTCTTAGTGATAAAAGAGGAAAACTCTCTGAGGCTAGGGAATGTCATTTTGCAAATAGGTTAATTTTAATCTCATAGTTTCATTGAGTTAGACAAGGCTGTGATCCATGTTACTTTAATATCCCCTACCACTTTTGTTTTGTTTGGTTTTTTTTTTTTTTTTTTTTGCCCATAACAGGCATTCATTGTGTGTTGTTTGAATTTAAATTTTGTTCTATTAGTTTTTTTTCCTTTTGTGTTTCAATGGCAGTTCAAAGAGTTTATTACATAATCCAGTTGCTAGCTTTCAGTTCATTAGTATTAACCTAAAATTTGTTCACACCATATAAGAAATGTTATCCATGTATATAAATCAGTCATGATTGTGGTCCTCCAATAATAATTGGTATTTGTATTTGAGGACATGGAGTAGATAACTTCTCACACTTTAATTTCATGATAGCTTGATGGAAAAGAGCACAGAGATGGGTGTAGTGGAAAACACTAAATTTGGTGTCACTAGTAAATCTTCTTAGGTATATTTGAATTGATATTGTAGAGTTCCAAATCTAGATGGACAAGAAACCTTCTACTCATTCCCTTCATTTTGTTGATGAAAAAGTGAGGCAAGGTGATGATGTTAGCTTATTGCCTGTTGTCATGCAACTGGAAAATGTCAGAACTCTGATTTAAATGCAAGACCTTTCACTTCCCCTTGAGTTTCTTCCAAAGGACATATTTGTGGGAGGAATTAAAAACTGCCCCGAGGTTAACACTCTGTGATAACTAGGTCATATAAACGTGCATATGACTATTTTGTATCATGTATACCACAGATGGGGCTTCCCAGGTAGCACAATGGTAAAGAATCCACTTGCCAAAGCAGGAAACGCAGGAGATGTGGTTTGATCCCTGGGTTGGGAAGATCCCCTGGAGAAGGGAATGGCTACCCACTTCATTGTTCTTGCCTGGAGAATTCCATGGACAGAGAAGCCTGGTGGACTACAGTCACAAAGAGTCAGGCATGCCTGAGCACTCAACATGTTTTTGTACCACAGAAGATACAGATTAGAAAGATATTATGCCCTTTATCTTGACCACTGCCATCTTATTGTTTCATGTCTACAAGTAACATGATTTTTTATAATTTATGAAATTAAATTAAAATAAAAATTTTATTATGCTACCGAAGACCAGTAGGTACAGTGTGGTAAAACTGACAGTTTAATGTTTTTCCTGTAATTCCTTAGACTTCATGCTATATCTTGATCATCACGATCGCAAATATTGCAAACTTGGCCAGTACTGCTACCGCAATCACAATCCAAAGGGATTGGATTGTTGTTGTTGCAGGAGAAGACAGAGGCAGATTAGCAGGTAATTTGCTTTTCTCTTTCTACCAAATGGTTTATATTAGGATTCACTTTAAATCAGTGGTAATAACTGAGGCTTAAGCCTTTTTTTCTGAGTAATTTTAAGGAATACTAAATTGAAAGCATAGTCTTTTTTTTATATTATCAGTCTCAGCACAAAGATTTATCTCACTGTTAAGAAGCTACTTTATAGGCTCGTGACCTTCTCTTTTATTCTGTGAAAACTGGCAAAGATTTATCTCACTGTTAAGAAGCTAATTTATAGGCTAGTGACCTCTCTTATTCTATGAAAACCTGGCAAATAGAAGAATATTTCTTTTGAGCTTTTTCTTTTAAATACTTAAAACGGTGAATATCTGACATAAATTTTATCATCATACCATGGTTATTATTGTCAGTACTTATTGGTCATATTGTGGATGTTATTTTTATCCAAACAGAAACAAATATGTGGCTCAGCTGGTAAAGAACCCTCCTACCAATGCAGGAGATGCAAGAGATGTGGGTTTGATTCCTGGTCAGGAATATCCCCTGCAGAAGGAAATGGCAGTCCGCTGCAGTATTCTTGCCTGGGAAACCACGTGGGCAGAGCCTGGCACACGGCAGCCCACGGGGTGGCAGAGTTGCACATGACTGAATACGCAGCACACACACACACACACACACACACACGATTCTAGGATAGACTCTGGAAGTTAATTCCTTCAACTTTAAAGTTCTAGTTGATAACTCTTACTACATTATGTATGATGCACTATAGCTGCTGTTATGAACACTAAAGAAGTATAGGATAGAATGTAGGTCTTCCAAAGCTTGCATTTTAGTTGTCCATTGGAAATGTCCAAGAGGGCAAACAAAGGCTGAACAATGCTTACAAAGCAATATATCCATTACATCAGTAACACTTGGGCTTAGAGTAACCTACCTTACTCAACATTCCCTACTCACCCCTTACTCCATACAGCATCCAGACACAGATGGATTGAAATTGCACAGAGTAAAGGAGGAATGTACACTTATTTACTGATCAGGTCAGCTGAGTCAACTCTGGTATAGTCACTAAGATTAATGGGTATTACAAACTCATTGCCAGCTATCCTGACTGACAAGACCATTCCGGATCACTTTAGTGGCTTATCCCAGGACACAGAGGCAAGATTAAGTACTGGGGTTAGCAAGCAACTTTGACTAGACACGTGGTTAAAAAAAAAAAGACAGGAAGTTGAGAGAAAGGGAACAAAATCTGTGAAAGGTCTACATGAAGAAAAACAAGGATTTGCTTAAGTCATCACTTTGTGATAGCAGTAATAATACCACTTCAGATAGAGATACCGCAGTGATTTTAGAGGTCAGTGAGTATGGAAGATGCATTTAGCACAGGAAAGCCTGTATTGCAGAAAATTCTTTCTGGAGCTAAAGTAGTGATTCTCACTGATTTTTCTCCCTGTGATCATTTACCAACAGGAAATAACTCCATATCTCTTTTTGTCACATAGAATTAAAAGATAAGATTTTGTCCTTTTTTTGGTGTTTTCTCCTGTTATTTTCTTTCTCTTTTAGTGTGTTAAGGATGTTAATGTATGCCAATGTTTTGAAATTCAAAGGGTACAAAAGGATATATTTTAAAAATAGATCACATATATCTGTTGAAATGTATTTGGGGAAAAAGTTAGCTTTTAAGATGATTTTCTTTCTCTTATCTGAATTTCTTAACTCATGCTGACTCTGTGAAGTCTAGAGAGTCTATAATTGGAGGAAAAAAAAAAAGCCCTGAGTAAAGAGAAAGTTACTCAGAATCTTTAATTTGTGCTAAATATCTAAATAAATAAATAAGTAATAAAACAAAGATCCCATGTAATTTTCTGGGACCTTTCTGACTATAAAGTGAAATTCCAGGAAGGCAACAAAAATATGACTGGCCACTTCTCAGCTGTCTTTCTTTATTTGAGGAATTATTGCATAATGGAAGAATCCAGGCTAACCAGTCTATTTTCTAACCTTCTGGAGTTTCTGGAGTTTAAGAAAGGAAGTAAGCTGCCTGTTGAACTCTTGTCCACTGTGAATTAGTTTAGGAAGTGGTGCTGTTTCAAGTTCGGCCAGAAGTACAGGATAGAGCCTAAAGAAGGAAAACCTCCATGTTGTTTTTCCTCAAGTTTTGACCTCCATATTTGATTAACAACTAATTAAAAATGGTCCTTCAAAATAGGAACAGATAATTCTTCCATCCTGGGGGTCAGCGAGGCTCTCACCATGGATTTTTGGTACCATTTCTGCTATAAGGCAGAGGTACAGAACAGATGAGAAAAGAGGAGGGCAAAGGAAAAGCAGAAGAGAAGGGGGAAGGTGCGGCAGGAGGGGACTCCAGCTGCCCCTGCGGCAGCTCTGGTTCTGTGTCTCTGTACACAGATACACACCTGTCCGGTCAGGAGTAATTTATGTTCGTGCAGGCCGATTTTTGAGGTTGCCGGCAAAGACTGCTGAAACCAAGCAGGAGGCTGGGCAGGACCAACTGAGCTCATGTGCATCACGCACACGTGTGTGTGTGTGTGTGTGAAATGTATGTGATGGGGTAAGGGTGTGCCCGTGAAGAGGGACAGTCGTCAGCTGGAAGCTAGTTGTTCCCAATCCCTCATCCCAATGTTTCTTGTTTTCAGAGTAGTTTATAAAATTGGAAGTTGAATCACTGAGGGTAAAGAACAAGAGAGATACTCCCTGGAAGGCTGAAAAGTTTTCTAATTTCAGTGGTATCAGGTCAAAATATAGTTGTTACCATCCAGTTTAGACAGCTCCAGGAAAGGTACTTTTTCCACATAAATACTGTTAATTAATCTGTCAACTAATTTGTCTAAGTACTTGATTTAGTGCCTTATTAAAGCCTTCTCTTGAATCATGACCCTTAGCCTGTCAAATCTGTTTGAAACTTCCTTTCCCTGACTTTTTATTCCATCTGTTATTTTATTTCCTTCTTCATTTCCTTTGTTAATCGCTTTTTGTTCATAGTCTATGAGATTTTTCTTGTCCATCATTCTAGAGAAGCATCTGCTGGTTGGCTTGATCAAGTAAGGTAGATACATTTCTTGTTTGGACCCCATTGACTGAGAATTGTCTTCATATTTGAGGTAGACAAACCTGCTAGGTGCTATTTGCTCAGCAAATATGTTCTCTATTATTCTACAAGATATATACCCTTTATAACAGCAAGTGGTTACTGATGTCCGCTCTGTCACAGCTGCAGCTGAAAACACTTAATTGGAATTAAATGAGCACACATTTGTGTATTTGCGTAAGAATCAATACAAGCCTGTGAAAAAGAGTATGTTTGCACATTGAGAGGACCAGTTCTTCTCTAGTGTGTTACCAGTAAAACGGTTAGGTCTTTTTCAAAAATTATTTAATTAATTCTGCTTCAGGAAAATGAAATCTCTTTTCTGATACTACATTACATCTAAACATTATTAGCTTCCTCAGATAGAAATTTCTAAATTTTGATAATAAAGAAAAGAAATTGGTGGCATTAGGAAGTTTCATGAGCTCTTGAAAAGGGAAGTAGTGAAAAAGTAACAAATCATTTTAATTACATTTCATTGTTGTTCTGAGGCCTTCAGATTCAAGTGTATGTTTTCATTACTATTTGATTTTTGGATTCAAGTTACTGAGTTATTAGGAGCAATCCTACATTTCCATGTTAGGAAATTATTAGCAGGGGCAGATGGAAGTTAATGAGGCCTCTGCAAAATTGGTTATGTATAAGATCAATGAAAACTGCCTTTGCTTCTGAAGTGAAAGGTGAAATATGTCAAAGTTCTTCTGTTATCATGCAGGCATTCTGCATGCATGGGACTAATTGGAAGGCAGTTGAGGACCAGGAAGAATGAGAGAATAATGACGGTTTTCTGTTAATGTGCTTATTAGTCATATAATGCTTTTCCAAGATGCCCCACGTGATTGATAAGGACTTTCTCAATTTTCACTCTACTCTGTGAGATAGAAAATGAGAACGTAGGTTATTTTCTTGACTTCCTCTCCTTTATGCATCTTGTCCTCCACTCTAACTCAGCTGTATGTTCCCATGGTCATACCCAAAGACCTTGTTATCACTGCTAAACCCTCCCCTTCCCTAATCTCAGTCTTTGGCATCCAAGACTTGAACTATACCTCCTGCCTTATCAGCTCACTCCTCCTGGTTCCCCAGTCACAGCAATGCTCCAGCCTGGTTGGCACCTGCAAGGCATCAATTCCACTGCTCATGACCCCCTCTTGTCTCCTCTCTTTACGCAGTTTAAATTCCAAATTCAGTCATTCCAACCATATGAATGCCTCCTAGTATACACCCTCAGTTCACTTGGCCTCCTCTCCTTTTGTTACTCCTTTCATAAGATCCTGCTTAAGTCCAACTCTCTATGGTAGCACATGGCTGGTGAAAAAAAGAAAAGCACAGTTTTGCTCACTGCTCTCACTTAAAATTCATGACCACTGGGTTCAAGCTGGCCCTGCCATGCTGCTGTATGATCATACAGTTTTCTCTGGTCCCTTCCTCCTCCCACTTTCCTAAAGGACTGCGTCTTACTTTTTCCTCATACATTCAGTACCGCCTTGCCCATCCTCACTTTCTCTGATGACCTTGCCTTGTGTTCTACTGAGAAAATGGAAAAATGAGAACTTCCATGTGCTCCCGTCTTCATGTGCCTCTTCCCACTTGTACCTACAGCCATTTACGTGACCTACACTCGTGAATTGCTTGTGGTCCTATCTAGGAACAGCTCTGCCACCTATGCAGGAGACTCAGATTCTATCCTTTCTCATTGACTGTATCATTCACATTAGCATATAAACGTGCTGTAACTTTGCTCATCTTAAAAATGCCCTTCTTTACCCCCTCTATCACTCCCATTTCTTTATTCTCCTTTTGAACAAAACTTAACAAAAAGAAATATCTGTGCTCACTCTTCCCAATTCCTTTGCTTGGTTGGGGCCTTGCTTTCCATAATACCAGGGCTGGTGGAGAGGGGTGCAACATTCACATTGTGAAGCTAGGCAGTGCCACTCACTTAGAATATAATAGAAATGGTGTCCCCTGGAGTGGGCACCAACCTCTTTAGTTCAGTTCAGTTGCTCCGTCATGTCCAACTCTTTGTGACCCCATGAATTGCAGCACGCCAGGCCTCCCTGTCCATCACCAACTCCCAGAGTCCACCCAAACCCATGTCCATCGAGTCGGTGATGCCATCCAACCATCTCGTCCTCTGTCATCCCCTTCTCCTCCTGCCCCCAATCCTTCTCAGCATTAGGGTCTTTTCCAATGACCAGCCTCTTTAACCAGCTTCAGTCAGGCATTTGCCCTTATTTCCTACCAGAATTATTCTTTCTAAGGTCCTCAGTACCTTCCATGTGACCTGTCTAGAGCTGCTTCTCCATGCTCATCTTTCTTGACTTAACAGCATTGCTTGCCAATTGATCACTTCCCCCTCTTTGAAACATTGCTGTCTCTTGGTTTAGGACACCACACTCTCCTGGTTCTTCTCCTCTTTTGCTGGTTTCTCTTCATCTTCCTGACCTCTGAACAGTAGCATGCCTAGGACTCAGTCTGCAGACCTCATCAGTCTATACTCAAGTCACTTGGTCTCATCCAGTGTCTTTGATTTAAAAATCAAGCAGCTGGTGGTGACCCGCAGATCTGGTACCTGCTTCTTCCCTGGACTCCAGACCTGTATGTTTAATTGTCTGCTTGACAGAGCCTCTTGAATGTCAGTATACCTAGAGAAGTCAACATCTCTAGAACCAAATGCTTGTTCTTTTGTCCAGACCTGATTCGTTTGAAGTCTTCCCTTTCCTGGTAAGTGGAAACTCTATCCTTCTAATTGTTGCTCGGTATAAAAACTTTAGAGTCATCTGTAATTCCTCTCTTTCTCTCGCATACCATATCTAATCTGTTTTCAAGTCTTCCTGATTCCCCTTTAAATTATATCCAGTATCTGTTTCTCTGTTTCCATTGTTACTGTCTTGCTCCCCCGCACATCGTCTCCCACCTGTCTCCTTGGCTGCACTTCTGTCCACACCCCCGCCCCACCCATGCACACACATGCACACACACACACACACACACTGCACACTGTTTTCTCATCACAGCAGCCAAAATGAACCTTTAAAAATACAAGTCCTGTGGTACCACCTCTCTGTTCATTAGCTTCGAAAGGTTTCCTGAGTCATTCGGCATAAAAATTGATTTCCAAGTAGTAGGCTAAGATCCTGCCTGATTGGGCCAGTCCCTCCCTCTCTGACCTCATCTCTTCTTATCCTCACCCTTCCTCATTCTGCTTCAGTCTTACTGTCCTCGCTGTTCTTCTGCGCATGCTTCTCCTGTTCCAGGATTTTTGCACTTGCCTTGGCCTGGGATTGTCTTTTCCCCAATACCCACAGGACTCACTCTTTTGCCTCCTGCTGCTTCATGCCTTGCTGTGATTTCTCTTTTTTTCCGTGAGTTCTTCCCTGACCTTGCCATATACAGAACTGAAGTTTCCGCCTTCCCCTGAGCTCTCTCTATGCCCTTTTTCTGTGTTATTTTTCACTCTAGTCTTTAATGAACCTCTGACTTACTGTGTATTTATATGCTGTTGATTGTCTTTGTTTTCCCATGCAAGTATAAACTTCATGAAGACGGGAAGGGTATTCATTTTTTGTCATAGCCTAATTCATGATAAGCATTTAATAAATGCTTGTTGAAATAAATGAATGTAGAGTTACTATTGAATTCATTTTTAAAAAGCTGATGTTAGACTAATTTATATAATCCTAGAGAATCATGATTTTTGAGGCAAGTTTAATGTGACTTGCTCCAAACAGCAATTGATTTTCTAACAAAATAGTTTGCTTGCAGAGTGCTTTTAGAAATTTACATCTTAGGAATCAATACTCTTGGTTTATGAGTTGTATTATGTAAGTGGGCAGTCTCTCTTTGATAGATTTGCACACTTCTCTGCCTTCTCCACCTCTCTCTGTAGATATGAATGCTACAATACGAAGGATTGACCAGTTAACCAACATCTTGGCCCCCATGGCTGTTGGCCAGATTATGACGTTTGGCTCTGCGGTCATTGGCTGTGGTTTCATTTCGGCGTGGAATTTGGTGTCCATGTGTGTGGAATACTTTCTGCTCTGGAAGGTTTACCAGAAAACCCCTGCTCTAGCTGTGAAGGCTCCTCCTAAAGAGGAAACTGAGTTGAAACGGCTGAATTTATACAAAGGTAAACTCAACAAAATGTTCAGTCCCTTTATTTTGATTTGCAGATCTTATATGTTGGTCGAGACCAAAATAATTCTGGATTTATGTCAGGTTTAGTTATTAATGATGGCCTGCATGAGGTTAACCATATCAACATGGTAATAAGTTAAAACCCAATCTCTTGAGGATCTGTGGAACAAATCTAGGTTGAACCTCAAGGAGTTGGAATGGGGCCTCTGGCCCTTTTTTTAACGTGAATAGTAGGCACAGAGGGGCAATTAATTGAGGGCTAGGCAAAGTTGAGCATAGTGATGGGAAGAGCACTGAGGGAAAGAGAAGAGAATTCCTAGAAGTCTGTAAAGAAGGGAGTTACAAGACCTTTGTAGGACAGTGGAAGAGAGTGAGGATATGAGGTGGACATTTTTCAAGAAGAGAAAAGGAAGTTGGGCTTCTGAGCAAATGGAATCTTAAATGGGCCCCCAAAATAAGGTTGTGTATTTTCTCAATTATTATATTTTATCTGATCAGTTTTCCTGCTGTTTACTTTGGTGGGATTATAGTTTCTGAGAGAGAGGGGGAATGGGGAGGGGAGAAGTATCAATAGTATTTTGTTTATAGCATAAATACTTGGAGTTTATTCCTTGGCGGAAATCCTTAGATGAGTAAAAGAAAATACATATTATGTTGTAGTAGCCGAGGGTGTCCATGGGTGATGCCCTCCATGGGTGAGGGAAAGGGAAGAAGAAAATTACTGTGTAAGGTAGTTAGCTTTTTCCTCCATGTCCCCTCCTTCAAATAATAATGTCTTTTATTAACAGAATCTGAGCCAAAACCCCTGGAGGGAACTCATCTAATGGGTGAGAAAGACCCTGACATCCATGAACTTGAACATGAGCAAGAGCCAAGCTGTGCCTCGCAGATGGCTGAGCCCTTCCGCACCTTCCGAGATGGATGGGTATCCTATTACAACCAGTCTGTGTTTCTGGCGGGCATGGGTCTTGCTTTCCTCTATATGACTGTCCTGGGCTTTGACTGCATCACTACAGGGTACGCCTATACTCAGGGGCTGAGCGGGTCCATCCTCAGTATTTTGATGGGCGCATCAGCCATAACTGGAATAATGGGAACTGTGGCTTTTACATGGCTGCGTCGGAGATGTGGCCTGGTTCGGACTGGCCTCATCTCAGGAATCGCACAGCTTTCCTGTTTGATCTTGTGTGTGATCTCCGTGTTCATGCCTGGAAGCCCCTTGGACTTGTCTGTTTCACCTTTTGAAGATATCCGTACTAGGTTCATTCAAACAGAACCACTTTCAATTACACCTACAAAAATATCTGAAATCATCTCTACAGCTGATGCGCACATGTCAAACGGGTCTGTTCCTGCTAGTACTGTCCCAGAGATGAGTTCTGAATCCGTGCCTATAATCTCTGTCAGCCTGCTGTTTGCAGGCGTCATTGCTGCTAGAATCGGTAAGAAGTCTCCTTTTGTATGTTCATGAACTAAAGTGTATTTTTGCAATGGAGGTTCAGATAATTCAGCAGAAATTGGGCTAAAATATTCCCTGAATGTTAATTTAAGCAAAATCCACTCTATTGTTAGGTATAATCCAGTCATTTATTATGAAAATTTAACTTTATAGTTTAAAAGAACCTGTATTTTATAGAATGTGTATGTATATATACTTTCTTAAAACATGGTTAGGGCTTGAAGATTTTTACTGAGTGGATATCTTTCTCTTTTAATGTAATTTAGTTAATTTTAAAAAAGATATTATCAATAATGATTATAATTTTAGTAATTTAGAGCCTTTTTATTATTATAACTCTACCAAAAGGACTGTAATTTAGCAGATAGTTCAATGCAATAAAGTTTAAAAAAAGTGGGATTTAAATTTTAAAAAATAAGACACAATAGAGAAAAATCCTTCGGAGGTCTTCTCTGGCTGATGTTTCTTTGTTGTATACTTTGCCAAACAAATGGTTTTTATAGCTCTGAAAGGAGGCATGATGTAAAAACCTCTTACAAAGGAAAGTTTTAAGTAATCATTAATAGAGTACTGATGAATTATCTCTGTCTGAATTCGTTCTTGAAATGAAACCATATTTATCTTGTGATACAAAGCAGTTCATTAATGTATTAAGTATATTAATATTAAAGCAAGACAGCTTTATTGTAGGGGCTTTAGAACCGAAGCAGTAAATGTATTAATGACTTAAAGTTTCCTTACACTTTAAACCTAACAATATATTAGGTCCGTTCATTTTAAACTTTAAAAATACTAGTAATTATAATAGGATTTATTATGTCTCTGATTTCAGAGTTCTGCTTTCAGAGTATGAATAATCACAGAAAAGAATTGTTTCTTATGGCTATAAAAACAATTTCTTGAAACCAGTAATAGCACAGTATTTATTAATGAAAAATCTCTAAAATTCAGCTATGATAAATATACATATGGTGGTTTTAAGGTAATAGTGTTAAGTATGTATTTTGTATATGTCAACAGATATTTAATGTATAGTTCTGAAATGTATGGCTCTAAGTTAAAATTAAGTTTCTAAGAAATATCTTTTATTTTAGGTCTTTGGTCCTTTGATTTAACTGTGACACAGTTGCTGCAAGAAAATGTTGTTGAATCTGAAAGAGGCATTATAAATGGTGTACAGAACTCCATGAACTATCTTCTTGATCTTCTGCATTTCATCATGGTCATCCTGGCTCCGAATCCTGAAGCTTTCGGCTTGCTTGTGCTGATTTCAGTCTCCTTTGTGGCAATGGGCCACATCATGTATTTCCGGTTTGCCCAGAAAACTCTGGGCTCCCAGCTTTTTGCCTGTGGTCGTGATAATAAAGAAGTTACAGATGCAGATCAAGCTAATACTTCTGACGTGTAAGACAGTTCAGCTGTTGCCACCCCTAGATTATGTTACTAGATTATGTAGAGCACATGTGCATATTTTGTTCTTCAGAATTCCAATAAATTGCTGGGTGTCTCTCTCTGGTTTTACCATAGCTATGCCTTGAGGGCCAAAAGCTAGTTAGGAAACAAGCCAGGAGAAATGAGCTGGTTAATTTCCCTTATATTTAAGGATAGGAAAAAAAAAATAGAGAAAGAGAACCTCAGTTTAAATACAGAGACTAGAATAGTAACACTGATTTTCCCTATTCCTCATAAGAGTGTAAAATTTTCCATAGAAGAGGGATTGGTCAGGTGAATTAAGTTATTTTTTGGCAGATATTTATTATCTGTACTAGAATTCAGATATGTCAGTTTGCCCTAACACTCTTGTTCAAGTCTAGTTAATTTACTTTTTAAAAAATCTTATTCTCAGTTATATTATAAAAACAAATTCTCTTCCAAGTTTGAAGATTAAAGTTTGATAACCAGTATTATCCCTGTTGGTCCTGTTGCTGTTAAGGGATTGACATATATGTGGAGAAATGAAATACTTAACTAGAGTTCTTTAATAGGGTTTATGGTTTAACTTTAGAGAGCACCTTTGTATTTTTCTTATCAGCTAGGGCAAAATATTGTATTAAGCATATGTAGCACTTCATAAAATGGTTATTGTGTAAGCTACAGGTAAAAGCAAAGCTATAGGGTAGATTTATAATACAGTGAAGGCATGAGGACTTCAAACGTGCCCGCAGTTTGGCCATAGAAACTGGAAGTTAAAAGTCACACGAAGGTCAAGATCTGGACTTAACTCATAGAACTATCCTTCATGATCTCTGTCTTGGAACATGAGGGAGTTGGCAAGTTAAAGGTAGAAAGCAGGCCCAAATTTGGAAAGGCTTTGTTTTTATAAATCATTTGATTTACTTTTAAGATGCTCGGTAGAACATTTTTACTTTTACTGTTTTGTACCCAGGAGTTATTTTTACCTAGTCATAGAGCAAAACTGTTCATAAATGTATCCCTTTCAAATGTCTTTGAGAAAAATGGAGGGAAAAAAATCCTTTTTTGTATATATTTTTTCAAAACTGTTTTGCAAGTCATTTTGCAGCATGCCAATACCAGCGGCATACTTTGCCTTAACTGTTCATGCACTTTCATGGAGACTGCAATACATTGCGCTGAGCACTTTCTTTTTTCTTGAGGTTTAATCTTTTTCTTCTTTCTACAGTATGATGTAATGATTTGCTATGTTGTAAAATCTTTGTAAAATATTTCTATATAAAAACATTTTAGAAAATCTTGACTTCTTTTTCCTGAGTTGCATTCCCTTGTTGTTTAATATTGCTTTTGTTAACAGAACATCTGTTTTAGATACTATATAGTATCTGTTTCTCTCTAAAGATCTATAATGTTGTAATAATTCACAATTTTAAGTGTTATCTCCCTGCTCATATGTCTAGTTTATGGTGGCTTGGATAACAGTGTAGTAAACATGAGCCCCAGAACTCATTCTTTGACCTTGAAGAAGTCACTTTAAACTCTCTTGAGTTCTATTTTCTCTTTTGTAAATTGGAAGTGTTATTATAAAACCAGCCGTACCTACATAACGGTTTCCCTGACTGAGTCAAGTAAGGTACTTCTTGTAGAAGCACTTTGTGGACTATACGACAAGGTAGTATTAATAATATTACTAGAAGTCGGGTCTAACTAATAACAGAGAGTTAGATTCCTGTTGAGAGGCCAGAGAGAGTAGAGTCACATTCTCTATTCAGCAAATGTTTACTAAACAACCAATCTGTGTCCCAGACTGATTGGTCTTGGAGATACAGATTTGACTCAAAACATGTTTTATCAGAGGCTCCTTTTCTTTTCCCCCCAAAATTGGGAGCTTGAGGACTTCTGTCATCGCCCATAATTACTGAGCAGCTGCTGACTTCTCAGTAGATAGTAGATGCCTGTTAGGTCTGGCGGCTATCTTGAGCTGGTCATCTACTTTTTCCCGCAGGGGTCGAGCTAGGGTTGGAGGTCTGCCCTGAGTGTAGCTGTAATTGAAGGCCTGTGACCTTGTAGAATGAGTAAAACCATCTTAGCAAAGAAAGGTCTCATCTCTTAATGTGGGCATTTTGCCAGACTGTGGGTCTGGTGAGAGAGGCTCTGTGTGGGAGGAAGGAAGTGGAGTTAGTTAACAGAAGTGTTCATAGGTGCTGCCCTTATCTTTGCAGAGAGCTGCTCGGAGCAGGAGGAGAAGGGAAATGGAGGAAAAGCACTGCTGTACAAGGCAGCCTCTGCTGGGTACTGCCCCAGGCACATTAGGGCTGGGTGGATGATTCCTGTCAATCTGGGCATGTTTCTAAATAGGGAGACAAACTGAGATAGCTACAAGGTCAATAGGTAATACAAATGAGTGAAGTGAAAACAGTCTTACATTTAACATGTAATTGCATTTCTCAAAAGTATCACTTATTTGTGCCCACTTAAAAACAAATTATTACCATTTTTTTTTCTTCTTAATTCTGGCTCCGTCAGTAAAGAATCTGCCGGCGATGCAGGAGACCCAGAATTGATCCCTGGGTCAGGAAGATCCCCCAAAGAATGAAATGGCAATTCATTCCAGTGTTGTTGCCTGGGAAGTCCCACGGACAGAGGAGCCTGGTGGGCTACAGTCCATGGGGTCACAAGAGTCAAACACAATTTAGTGACTAAACCACATACCACCACAATTCCCACACAGGCTTCTTGTGGTTATTAAAATAGATTCTTTCCACATGGACATCCTTTGCATAGGAAAAACTATTTATTTCCTAAAGAAATATGCCTATTCTCACTTTTTTTCTTGGGGCATCTGGCTTCCTTGATATTCCTTTCATTTCCTGCTCCCTGACCCACTTAAAGAAAGAAAAAGGTGTGAGTAAGAAATAACTTTCCTGTTCACCATAAGAAAAACCAAGAGGGGAGCTAAACCCCTGACCATGGTTTTGGGGAGGTCACAGGGTATGCGAACTGGCAAGCACATAACCAGGATAAAGGAACAGCTAAGCAACATGGAATGTGAGCTTCTCTAGTCATATCTTTCATCTTTCAAGAGAAGCTGGGATTCTGAAATTTTGTGTGACATATCCAAATCCTTCAGTTCTGGCAAGTAACTTGAAAATACTAAAAACATTTTTCTAGCCAAACCAAGTATATCCGTAGGCTACTAAGGAGTCACCCATGGGGTACCATTTTTTAAGTTTTTCTTTAGGAGGACAGTTTGTTTGCAAGAGAATGGTATTTGAAAAATGTATAGATAATAGGAGGTATATATACAAAATTGGTGGAGTACAAAGAACAAGAATGAACTTGGCAAACATTAATGGTGAAAAACATTAAGAGATTAGACATCCTTTGTTAGAGATCATTTAAGATCAAATAATCTATGCATTTGTTACCTGCCACATTGATGTCAGTGAGAATTCTGCCCACTGTCCCTTATTCCATGTGTTGTTTATACAGTTGTGTTAAAGGATAATGACAATTTAATTTAAAAATACTTTCAAAAGTTTGTCTTAAGTATAAACATAATATGCTCCTATTTTAAAAAAGGAAAAGCACAGGCTTTATTCAATTCCTCTCTTCCTACCCTGCTCCTCAAATTCCCAGTACCCACTGTGAATAGTTTAGTGTATACTTCCAGATAATTTTTTAATGAAAGTTTCAAAAATAACTTGTTATATCATTTGGTTTGTTCACCAAGATTATATCATTATCTGTCTGTTGCTTGATCAGTCAACCAATGTATATTTCCCCCCCAGATTCAGAAGGCTCTATTAAAGTCATGTTTGCATTAAGGGTGTTGATACAGTAATTAAAAACTTTAAAAAGTGACATAGGTATACAAATTGCCAAGTTTAATTGTATTGTCATTGAGAAGTAGATTTAGTCTGATAGTCCTTTCAGCAAGACAAAAGACCACTGAGTTTTACCTTTTTCTCCTCAAATGACACTTACTTGAAACTCTTATTACATCAGTTAAGTATTGCTTTTCCATGTATAATGTCTCCCCTTTTCCCTCTTTATCCACCATTCAGAGTAATCTTTGCTATCAGAACATTTTTGTTTTACAAGATAGCAATTCAAGAATAGAGTTGAAATGTTAGAAGAGCCTTGTGACAACACACACACTTTTATTACAAACAAGTCTGAACTGGTTACAGTTAGTCACACTTGGAAAACTAAACAAATTTTATCCCTTATATGGGTACTTGTTTACATTTTCCAAGTCCAAAAGAGAGCAGGTATTTTATCTAAAGAATGGACAAATGAGAGGTGCAAAGTTCAAGTACTTTTTTCCAGTTCTTCACCCTAAGCTCTATGTAAATTATTACATATCTTCCAGTTTGAACATTTTCCTTATTGCATTTCACTAGGATAAAAGTGCATTGCAAACTTCTTGAAATAGTTACTTTCAAAATTGTCTTAGAAAGTGGTTGTCCTTAACTTATGTATTCAGTTGTAGGGATGATAATGCAAAAATAATTAAACAGGTTGAAGGTGCAAGAGGATAAATATGTTTTATAGTAACTAAAACACTTCAGGAGAAATATATGTTTTGAAGAAATAATTTTCAAAGACCTCATGATAAATGATCCCTAATGAACAGGACATGGTCACATAGTAAATCATACATAAAGGAATATTTGAGCTTAATGCATATATATTCTCAAAAGAAATGTTGTTCTATGATAGATTTATTTTTATTTAGTACTATGTATTGACCAAATATATACATAATATATCTTATCTATTAATTCTAAGTTGTTTAAGTAAAAGACACTATGGTAGAAAGGAAATAATATTTAACATCTGTATTTGTCAGCATTTTATTCATTTAATCCTCACCATAACTCAGTGAAGAAGGTATTATTATCTGTGTTTTATAGATGAGGAAACAGTCTTAGGGTATCATGCACTTACATAGCGAGAAAGTGTAGAATAGAATCTAAAATCATTTCTGTC